CGTGGAGTGAAAATAGTCACGAGATAATAAGTGAGAAACAAAATAGCATTCGCGTTGGGAAATCGCGGTTAGGTATTACGGAGGAGAAATGGGCCGGACCGCGTGCAAAGAGAACACGGGACACGTGAAGTCTAGTCAGTCGTAAACCATTTCGTCTCTAACGAGGAAGTAAGGGACGTTTCATCGATTTGTCATTAAAGCAACATTGCAGTACTACCTCCTACCTACGGAGCCAGACACGCGAGACATTTTTCTGGCAGAATCTTTTTCTGCAACAGATACGTCATCACCGCGGACGTATCAATGAACCTACATATATAATTATAAAATACATCCGTGAGAATAGACTCAGCTTTTTCCTGCAACTTTTCAACGAACCGATATCGAACAAGAAGAAACGACACGTGAGCAGAAAGAGAGAAGGTATAATTTTTGGCATGCATCGTCAAAAGCGTATTTAAAACACTACCTGTCGTGGTTCGTGCTATTTCTGGAAGAAATCTCGACGAATACGTCTACTGGAAAGTCGCGTGTCCGCGATAACGATCTATCAAGGAGTATCAGCAGAATTCTTTCGCGACCCGCGAGACTTCCGGTGTCCTTGCGGTGTCGCGTTGTCCACCCGAAAGCCCATAAAAGCTGGAAAGCAACGAAGAAAGCCGACATACGGGCAACCTGCGCACCTGCGACCAGGTCAAAGCGATTGCGTACACCGAAACGTGGCGGTGCACCAGTGAGAATCGAGATTCCGGCTCGCCTGCATGCGCTTCTATCGAGATATTTGAATATCGTACGCTGCTTTCTCGAGAAAAATGTCGTTTCGGGGAAAAACTCCGAGTATTCACTGAGATATAGAGCTTCTGAATGAAAAATAGACGAACGGAAGAGGATGTCTTTTGGACTGGACACCTTTTTCGAACAAGCATACTTTAACGTTTTTCGTGAATGAAAAGTGCGAGGTAGGAAGAAAGAGTTCTCTTCTTCTTTTCTCATACTTCAGATCATTCGAACAACGTTTAATCGTTCTTCTCTCTGATACCTCTCAGCAGAAAATGATCATTACCGCGCTATGAGAAAGAAGACTTGTGTGACGTGATC